TGCTACATTAAAGAACACTAAAAAAAAAAAAAAAGAAAAGAAAAAATGCAATGTATGAATCCTGCTCAAATCTTCAGTAAAAATAAGTGTTAAATTAAAAAGTATACCATTATTGGGACAATTGCAGAAATTTAAACATGGACTGCATGTTAGAAAATAGTACTGTGTCATGTCCAAATGTCCTGAGTGTGATCATTGCATTTGTGCTTATGTAGGAAAATATTCTCATTTTTGAGAGATATACACTAAAGGTTGGGGGTTTAGGTATCTAGATGTCTGCAACTCTCAAATGGTTCAGCCAAAAAATACACACATGCACAAAGGGAGAAATGTGACAAAATGTTAAAATTGGTGAATTATGTAAATAGTATATGGATGTCCATTGTATACTTCTTGAAATTTTTCTGTAGGTTTGATGTTTTTCAAAATACAACATGGTGGGAGGAGAAGAGGGAGCTGTTTATACAGTCACTGCAAGAAGACAGCACAGACAATCTGACAAGCAGCCAATGTATCTGTTAGGTGGATCCTCACCAAGAGTGCAAGCTCCAGCAGAAAGGATCTGGGAGATACTGCAGATAGCCAATTTGGGCAACATTATTCATTCATTCATTACAGGGTGCCCAGTTAAATTTGAATTTCAGATAAACAACAAACAGGTTTTCAGTATAAGTATGTCCCCCCCTGAGAGGCACTATGGACTGTTCCATACCCAGGGGAAAGGAACAACAGGACAGTTCAAGATTAGAGCCATTTATAGTCCTACTATTTTTATTTAATCAAATTCCACTCTATTTTTATTTTTTAATCTTTATTTTTGAAAGTATTACAGATGTTCCGTTTCTCCCCCCATGACCCCTTCTAGCCTGAACCCCCAAACCCCCATCCCAAGTCTTCACCACCCTACTGTCTGTGAGAAGTTCCAAAACACCCTATTGTCTGGAGAGAAGTTCAAAACAACTGACTTACTTAGAGGGTTGCTTCTGAAAATTTGAGTCATTGTGTTTACCCCACTGAATATCATTAAATGCTTTGACCTAGGTTGACTGGGGACCCTCCCCTCCTACAAGAATCCCTGGATGTCTTGAAGTTGCATTTTGACACATTTGGCATCCATAAGGCCAGAGCAGCTCAGAGAAAATATTTACTTGCCCCAAAGGAAGTAAATATTGGAGCCCAACCCCTGGCTCCAAGGAAGAATGATATTGTCCTCCCAAGGACGGTTGGCAATGCCTGGGGATATTTTTTTATTGTAAGTGAGAAGGATGGGATACAAAATAAAATATGGGTCCCTTTAGGAAGGACAAAGGTGAGAATGGATAGCAGCCAACAACATTCATTCCACATCTATTAGGTTTTATATCAAACTCAAAGCTGTACGTACCCTAACTGACTCAAGGAAGTATTCTAACTCAATTACCTGAGAATTGGGGGTGGGGGGAGAAGCAAGCCATGTGAGGATGTTGAAAACTTTAGGCAGACAGTGAAAGAGGAAAGAAGGGTAGAACATTCTAAAGTTTTTGAGTTTATTTTTCATCTATATATATAAAAGCCAAGTGACCTGAACAACAGACCAAAATGACTGGTCGCTATGACGATGCACACTGCAGCAGCCAATTGGTCCCATCGGGGCCCCGATCGGGCCCCCCCAACCATCTGCCACTCCTCCCCCTGGCCAACCCCACCCCCGATCGGCCCCCATCAGGGCGGGCTGACCCCCATTGGGGCAGGCCGGCTGGACCCCACCTGTGCACGAATTCATGCACCGGGCCTCTAGTCCTATTATAAAATTAGAACTCTATCAGAGTACTAATACACCATAAGAAGAGAGGAGAATCAAACGTTAATGACAAACTACTGCTGTAGAGCCTGGCTTGTCCTGAATGAAAAAGGGGTTCTGTAATAAACCTAACCAAAAGTAACCTCACAGGGTGATCTGATCACAAGTTCCTAACTGAGCAGGTCATGGTACTTAATCCCATCCCAGGCCCATAAAAAGTTTATCTTTGCCTTAAGCAAGCCCTGTTCATTGTTTTTATGCATCTAGGTCAGTGATGGCGAACCTATGACACACAAACTCATTTTTTTGGTTGATTTTTCTTTGTTAAATGGCATTTAAATATATAAAATAAATATCAAAAATATAAATCTTTGTTTTACTATGGTTGCAAATATCAAAAAATTTCTATATGTGACATGGCACCAAAGTTAAGTTAGGGTTTTTCAAAATGCTGACACGCTGAGCTCAAAAGGTTTGCCATCACCGATCTAGGTTAACACACTTGAAAAGCCTCTTTTTAAGATCCCTGTGAAGCATAACCAACCTGAAGAGAGAACATATTCTTGTTAACTATCCTGTAATCCAATCATAGAGATTTCACTGCCTTACTTTTCTTCCACATTCATGTACTAATCTTCTTTACCCTCCCTAATTCCAAATGTATGAAAGGAACTGCGAAATGTCATTCTGGGAAGCATTTTTCTCACTCTGATGAGATCTTGCATCCAGATGTGTCTTCTGTTTGGTTCAAATAAACTGTTACAAAAATTCTCCACGAGTTTGAATGTTCTTGCATCAACATCTTGCATCTTTCATTCATTCCACAAATATTTCTAGGGAGTCTACCATGAGCCAGATAATGATCTAGGTCCTACAGGATATACTGATAAAATTGCCAAGTCTCTGCCCTTGTTGAACTTAAGTTCTTATGGAGTGATACAGGCAAGAAACAAATAACCATGAAAAATAGTTTTTTGTTGTTTTGTTTTTGTTTTGTGACAAATAGTTAAGTGACATGGCAGGTGACAAAATGCACATAGTGCTACAAGGAAAAAAAACAAAAAAAACAGACCAAGTGAGGGGAAGGCAGAGGAGAGGGCAGCAGACAGCAATTTAAATGAGTGGTAAGAATTGCTCTCATTGAGAATGTGAGCAAAGGATTGAAGGAGATGGAGGTGTGACCAATACAGACACCAAAGGGAGGGAAAGCTTTCTAGGCAGAACGAACAGCCAGTGCAAAGCCCTGGCATGATGAAGGAATTGCAAAAAGGCTAGTATAGCTTGGGTGGAGTGAGTCAGAGGAATAAAGAGTGTGATCAGAAGTAAAAGGAGGGGCTTTGTAGCCATGTTAAGGACTTTGGCTCTTACTCCCAGAGAATTGAAGAGCCACTGAGGGATTTTGAGAGGGGAAATAGTAATCTGCCTCCATCTGAACATGAGTTTTCTGGCTACAGTGTTGGGAATAGGTGAGGAGGGCAAGGGTGAAAGCTGGTGATTGCAACAATGCATCAGAGAGCCATGGTGGTGACTAACATCAGGTTGGGAGCAGTGGAAGTGGTGAGGAGTCAATGCATTCTGGACATAGTTAAAGGGGGAGCCAATATAATTCACTAACAAAGTGAATAAAAAGCACTAAGGGGAAAAAATTGGCTGACAAAGCTATGAACACAACCTCTGCACTTCTGACTCCATGGCCCTACAGGAAAAACAGCACTGGCACAGTGTTTGTTAAAGGTTAACTTGTCAAGAGGTGCCACAATGTTCAGCTTCTGGTTCAAGGGAGAAGACACATTGTAACATATGGAGCAATATTAATGTCTTCTGAGCCAAACAGGCCCCAAATTTCTGCTCCAGGTTGTTGGAAACTCAATTCCCTCCAGTAACATAAAAAAAAAAATTTTTTTTAAACCAAACTTTTCAACTTAATTTTTCAGGTCCCCATGACCAATTTAAATTGTCATTGCAGTATAATATAGACAGAGGTATATTAACTGTCAATATCCTTTGATTAATACCGGTATCCTCAAAATGAATCTTGTTAAAGAACAAAATTCAACTGAATAAATCTGAAGGTCTAATTGGTTTCTTAATTGATTCATGAGTCAGTTAATGAGTCAGCATCCCATCTAGCAACTAGAAGGGCACTACAAGGAATTGTAAAAAATGGAAGATTGTTTTAGACAGAAAGATAGTAGGACAAGAAAGGTAAAAGAGTGGATTATTTCAGGCAAGATCACCTTCCCTTAGCGAAGGGCAGGGGGTTCTTACTGGGCATATTACCTCACTAGTGCTGATCAGGAAATTTCAAATTGAATTAAAATTCCACCCCTGTGATTAGTTTAGGTATTACGTCTTGGTGGGGCTTATCACAGTGACTGCATTTTGGGTCTGCTATTTCTTTTTAACAAACTTCAAAGCAAGTTTAGAATAAAAATTAGGTTTTTTTGGAGGTGCATTGAAGAAAATGCAAGTAAAAAAATATTTAAAATCCTTAAAAAGATATATCTTCTATTGTTCCTCTAGAACTTTTCCTAAACCAGTTCTTGTGTGCAAGAAGTACTCCACTGGGTGAGGCAACGCTAATGTCCCTTAATAAGTGTAATCATGTATCACCAAGCTCCCTTTGGACTCTATTAAAGGCACTGTCTGCCTGTCAAACAGGTTACTGGCTCGATTCCCATGTATTTTTCAGAACCAAAGCATTTGGATGTGGCATGGATTAAACGACTTAATATTTGTAAAGCCCCCAGACCAGTTCCTGGCAGTAGCCAGTACTTATGGGTTCATCATTATTTTAAGACCAAGGCCTCACAGGATCTTGTGAATTTAAGTTTAAATGTTTTAAAGCTGAGCAATCAAAACTATTACATTTTCTCAACGCTCTGGGGTGTTTGCTAGCTCCAGGTGTGCAATTTTCGTTCAAAAATTCGAGCACATATCTTGGGTCATCTTTTTAGATTACACATATTCTCAAAAACACCGTTCTGTGTTGTTTTTGTTTACGTAAAACTAATACGTACACAATCTAAGAAAAAAAGCAAAGCCTTTCCCTCTACCATACTGAGAGCTGGGTGAGCAGCGGATGCCGAAACAGGATGGGCACTTCTACAGGACCGGCAACCAAGGCCTCCTCGGAATGACCAGGAAAATGGCAAGAACACTGAGACCTCACACCCGGCAACCGGGAGCCTCCAGGGGCAAACCGGGCTTCCGAGCCTACCCCGGCAGCGGCAGCGGCCGACCGTGGGCTCCGCGTCTCCCTCGGAGAAACAGAGGCTTCCTTCCTACGCCTCCCCGCCTCCCCGCCTCCCCGGTAGAGAGGAGACCAGGGCGAGGAGGACAGGGCACAGACGCCACGGCCTGACAGGATGTCCTTTCTCCGGAGAGTCAGCGCACG